ATAATGAAAAATAATGATCCCAATCATTAAATTAGTAATATTACATTACTAGGCATGAGAATAAAGGATTATTTCCCCCTATATCTGCATGTATGCCTTAGTGACGTCACGTTTAGCCACACCCACTGACAGAAAGTAATAAAAATGAGCATCTTTGAAGGCTCATATCTCAGTAAAAATTTTTTTAGACAATGGGAGTTGGAATACATCATTATTATAGTCAGGCCATCATATTAAGCCAATAAAAAAATTCACCAAAAATACACCGGACTTACCCTTTAAGGGTCTTATATGATTCTGGCCACCAGTGTTCACTGTTCAGTGTGGCATTCTGCTGGGTTTAATATGTTTTAGCACTTTGGATCATAGTAATCATAGCTATAGTAACACTGAAGGGCCCACCGATTTAGGGTAATTATATACGTACCATTTTGGGGTTCTGCAGATTCACAGGCTAATGATTCAAAAACCAAGTGTCATCCTTTCAAAAGAAAAAAGATACATCTAATGTTTTACAGTATTTGAAAAAGCGAGAACTACTTATAAGGGTAAAATATCTTCAGAGCCACCTGTTTTACCATTAGAGGGAGAGGTTTACCTATTTTCATTGGGACCAGATGAATGAAATTGGACTGTATGAGAAAAAAGTTTAGGTTAGCTTTGATTATTTGTTACCTATTCTAGACCCTTTAATTGAAGCCCACATCCTTAGGTGTGACCAATACAGGTGGTCACATTAGGGAGCATATGATGTAAAGCATAATGGAGAGGAACTGAAGAAAAAAGCAAATGCCATTGACATAAAGCTTTGTGATCCCAAGAAAGGCAATAAGCAGTTCTACCGCTAGGAGTACTATGGCTTTGACGATTTGTTTATGCTTCATTATACCAGTGACAACTCTGTATTTCATAACTTCAAACATAGAAGTTTTAAGCATTCATACTATCTGCACCATTTGTAAAAGAATGGGTAGATTTGTCATACATGCATGTAAGCATTGTTTCATCCACTCTACTTATATACAGTTCAAGGATAGTAACCAATTAAGGGTCACAAAGGATGTTCATAGAGATATAATTTTGGCTAATGTCAGAGGACCTAGGCATGCAGTGACCACTTCCCATGATGTAAAACAGGCAGCTTACTGTAACTTTCCATGGTCTTTGGGTTTAGGCCATTTCAAATATTACTTGTGTAACAAAATCTAATGCATTTTCCTACATTTGACAGGAAATCCTAAAATGCATCATTGTTTCATTATAACAAAAGTCACTTCATTTATAGGTACATAATTTCATAAATGACTTAAACAAGCAAAACCATCTATCACATAATGCACTTTACAATTTATATGAGCTTCATAGTCAATTATTACAAAGCAATCAAAGTGGTACATCAGAAAGCTTCATCACCTATTTTCTAACCATACCACGGATAATTTTTCACTTAATTCCTCATTCAATTATTGATTAACTCAAAACTCTTCTTAAAGCTTCTTCCATACCTGTGACATTCCATTATAATACTGTTTTTAATGTTGGGGATTTGTATTTGTCATCACTGACTTTCAGACACAGCCTCTTTGAAGGTCAGCCTATAATTCCCAGTGGATTTTTAATTGATAGCTGTAGTCTTCAAGAAGACCACCAAAATTTTTTTAAACACTATTGCAAAGAGAGTATTACAAATAGTTAAAAAAGAGTAAATGTTGTCACAGACTGAGAGTTTAAGTTTGACAGTATTTTTTCTTGTGGTAAACATTTATACCGTTGGAACAATTTTATTACAGATTTGCAGTGGGTCCTGCAATTGTTCCCCAGAAGAACCCTTTTGTAAATTTTTTGAGAGCAGTGATGCCATGTGAAACTGAAAAGAATTTGACAGGGAATGGAGTATTGCCTAATGTGATGATCAAAAGAAGGTCCTTTTATATTTTTCCAACAACATTATTCCAGCTGTCAAGGAACATGCAGCAGTTTGGGTTTTACGTACTGCCCATGTAAAGAACCCTTCTTTGCGTGTTACAAAATAATGTATCAGAATTGCTTAATGCTGTAATGCACAGACTGCACCAGTGGAAACAAGCACCACTAAATACACGTAACTGTGTCACTCCACATGCTTTCCTGTTTTTATCATTGTGAAATTGTCCGCTTCATTCATCAATGTGGTGCATGGCAGCTAAAGGATGAGCATGATTACATGCAACAAGAACCATCAATGATGCCTTTTTTACCCAAAGTATGTCAGCACAGCGACAATGTTAACATGCTTGCTCAACTACACTAGTCAAGGCAACCAATACCACTACTTCTGCATGCAGTGCTACTGGAAGTAACACTCATATTGG